CCCCACACCCTAACTCAGGTATGAGACTCAGATCTTCTGTGTGAGACAACCAAACTCCTTTACTTTTCCGATCCATCGGCCATTTGGGTTCTAGCCCTTCAGTCTGTAGATATGGCAAAGAATTTACATTTACAGGTTTTAATCAGCTGTGCTTTGTCGCTGTATAGAGTATTTCCGATGTCTGGGGAGGCAGGTAGGTAGGTGCTACTGCTACGCAGGTCGCAAAGTGCACGGCAGTTAGTTAAAGAGGTGGTGTGGTACTGTTTCATCCTGGCAGTCGCACAACGGGCAGTCGGGTGGTGTGTCCTTGCGGATCCTATTATATAAAGGAAGGCATTAAGTGGGATGTGCTCCAAACTGCTACCCCACCGACGCCGGTCGAGTTAAAAGGAAGATTATGATTGTTTCAAGACAGATGGACAGGCAAGAAAGTTTAGTAAAAAAAAGTTTTACGGCACTTGCAACACAATAAGGTCATATAAGTGCCGAAGATTAGAGGTGTTACAAGAGAGTAACAACAAACGTAAAAAAGAAGGAGGAGAGATGAGGACGACAGATGTTTAAGAGGAAAAAAGGAGCAAACCACACCAGAGCACCCGCCAACCACCCACCAGGCAAGAAAACCAACGAAGAAATCTGCCAAATATAAAGAATATCATCAGGGTTTAGAAACAAAATCAAAATGAGAATACTGTAGTTTAGTCAAAATTGTCTATAACTTACATAACGGCCACCCATTGCCAATGAGAAAAGTAGCCATCTTATTCTTAGACAGTTAGTTGTCTATTTTACACTGTGTCATGATGTTAAAAAACGATAAAAACAACAACAGCACCACCATCGCCAACAACTACAGCAACAGCAACAACACCACCACCAACAACAGCAGCACCACCATCACCAACAACAACAGCACCACCATCACCAACAACAGCAGCGCCACCACCAACAACAACAACAGCAACACCACCACAAACAACAACAGCAGCGCCACCACCAACAACAACAACAGCAACACCACCACAAACAACAACAACAGCAACACCACAAACAACAACAACAGCAACACCACCACCAACAACAACAGCGCCACCACCAACAACAACAACAGCAATACCACCACAAAAAACAACAGCAACACCACCACCAACAACAACAACAGCAACACCACCACCAACAACAACAGCAACAACATGGCTTTATGAGTATGAGCAGATTCTACTGTATTTTGGCGTCCTACTAAAGTAAAGAGACATTATAACATCACATTCCTAAAAGAAACCAGACAGAAAACGGGAAATACGAAGGCAAAGACTACTGCTATGGACTGACAACATAAAGTCGTGGACAGCATCATCGTTGGAACAGTGCACTAGAGAAGTGGACAACTACAACCCTGCGTGGTGGATCTTTGCTCATAAAGTTAGGTAAGAGGCCTCTGAGGTAGAAAAAACACCTAGGCCTACACCCTACAAACCTTTTGTTTTTGTTTTTTATTTTTTGGTTGTTGTTGTTGTTGTTTTTTTTTGGGGGGGGGGGGAGAATTTAGTAGAGGTTTTACGGTGTTTGCAACTGCATTAAAGGTTATAAGAGCGCCAGAAGATTAGATGTGTTACAAGAGAGTAACAAAAACCAGAACATGAAGCTGGAGAGATAAAGACGATAGATGTTTGATAGGAAAGAAGGAGCAAACTACACTAGAGCACTACCCGCCAACGGCCTACGTTTTGAAATTAAAACAACAACAACAACAACGAAAATCTCAGTATCAACAATACACATACTTGTACTGGCAAAAACAGTCATGTTTTAGTTTAGTTTTAGTAGAGGTTTTACGGCGCTCGAAACTGCATAAGGTCATATGAGCGCCAGAAGATTAGAGGTGTTACAAGAGAGTAACAAACATAAAAAAAGAAAAAAGGGAGATAAGGACGATAAATGTTTCATAGGAAAAAAGAAGCAAACCACACCAGAGCACCCGCCAACCACCCACGCAGTCATGTTTGTTTGTTTGTTTGTTTGTTTGTTTGTTTGCGTAAAGAGAAGCAAAAAGATATGTACAATAACAGTCATTTTGGGCTGGGGAAAAGTAAGACAGACAGACACTTTTTTTTAAAGTAAAAGTTTTACGGCATTTGCAACACATTATTAAGGTCACATAAGTGCCGAAGATTAGAGCAGGTGTTACAAGGGAGTAAGAAACACGAAAAAGAAAGAGGGGAGATAAAGACGTAACAGAAGGGAAAGTAAAGTGCTTACAAAAATATTCTCTGACAGGGAAATTATAAACAAGTGGAGTGGACCCATCAGTCTCCCACTCAGATTGATAAAATAATTAATATACTGTCCCCGTGGTTTTATGAACCCCGCATAATTTAGCAAAATTTGATTATTTTTTGCATACTTGCTGATTATTTTCCTTTATCATTCTTTGTTGAAATTAACAGAATCGCATAATTTTCCCATTTTTGGGCTCATTTTGCATAATTTCAGAATTTTTCTTGCATAAAACGACGAGGACAGAATATATAAATGAGTCACAACGCGGTGGAATGAGGCGCTTGTCAATTTTTGGACATGTGGAGTTATTGGTTTCGTTTTAAAGCTTTTTTGTCGGTTTTGCTCTCACTGAAAAAAATACACATTTATCATGAATTGAAGTCGAGACATTTGCGATTGAAAGAGGTGGGGATCACCTTCTAGTTTCACAGGTAAATTAGCGAGAAAATGGCCGCCAAAGATAGGCGACTTCCAAAGCTTGAGAGCTCTTAGAAATTGCAAATTTACATTTTTGTGCCTTACTTTATTCAGTAAAATCCACACACAAATAAGTTTTTAGATGGACCATAAAGTTGTTGTATTGTTGTATGATCAAAAAACAAAAATTCGATAAAAATTTTGTGACGAACAGAAAACTGCCAGTTTCGTTTCTTCGATTTCATTATTTTGACAAACGCCTGATTACACAACGATGCCTCACATATATTATACATCTTAAGAAGAAAAAAAATTAGCAGCACAGTGATCAAAAAACAAAAGTTGGAACTATCATTCGATACATTCATTTAATTCAGTTATTACTACTACAAAGGCAAGCAGCAGCATAATAACCAAGGCAGCAAGTGGCAGATACATCACAGAATTGTATTATTTTCACAATTATTTCCACTTTCATACATTTGAGAAAATAAAAACAAATTAAAAGACAGAAACAAAGCAAACAAACAAACCCCCCCCCAAAAAAAAAAATCACCAATACAAAATTATAGTAATTTACAAACAAAAAAAGACAAAAAACTGGACAAAAGCATGATGTAATGTAACAAGTACTAACTTCTAACTGAGTTGGGATAGTTTGCAAGGGCTATAACTCTACTTTTAAAGCCATCCAAACATTTCCTTCAAATGCTATGTTGTGTAATCTCCCCTGAAGTAAGTTGTCCTAGGCCTACCAGGATCTCACTTGGTCGCTTTTAAGCACAAGGGGGCTATCCCGAAAAATACTGTTTTCAGAAAATCGAAAAGTAATTATGTTTTTGCCTCTTGTTCAGTTTCTTTAAAAGACAAGGAGAGTTTTCTCTATAACCAAACAAATATACACACAAAATGAAACCAAACTCCTCCTACAGGTAGGGTTGGCAACGCCCACTTTTGGTGAAGGTCAAGATTTCTGGAAACCCCCAAAATCTGGATTAGCCCGCAATATTCATTTCTATTAACCTCTTCGTGACCTATATATGGTAAGCGCTGTTCATCATTTTTTCTTACACGACAAACGAGGCAAGATGCTGCTGTGATGTACGGTGCTGCGGAATGCTTTGTGAAGTGTGAGGACAATGATGACAACTGCCGATCGTCATAGATTGTCATCTGCATAATGCTTCTATTAGAGAAGCATTTCGTAAAACTAATCGCAGATTCACATTCAGCGATATTCTTTCTGTACAAAGAAATCTATATCCTTTACGAGATAGTTAGCCGCATTTACAAACCGGGTCTAATTATGGGCAACTGGCTACACTAGATCTAGCGTTACTTTTTGTCCCTGGGGATCCATAACTGTACCCGGTGAAGCACGAACTGACCCGGTGTACGGTAAAAGAAAGTAGGATCTGTCTCAAATAAGGGGATTGTAGAGGGTGGGGTTATTTAACGTGCCCCTAACCACCCTCATCAGCCTCATGAATCTATCCCCGTGGTTTTAAACAAAAGAAATTCTGAAATTATGCAAACTGAGCCCCAAAAACGTGAAATTATGTAATACTGTTAATTTTAACAAAGAATGATAAAGGGAAAAAATCAGAAATTATGCCAAAAAATTATCAAATTATGCGGGGTGCATAAAACCACGGGGACAGATGAATAGTGAGATTTCCATTGTTCATCATTTCATATAGAGAGCTTTTCTTTGGTAAAGTTGTCTTTGGAGTGGTATACATTGTTTTTGTTTGATTTTACTTTTTAGGTAAGTGTTTTACGGCACTCGAAAGTATTTTACGGCGCTCGTAATTGGAAATGGCCATACAAGTGCGCAGGACACATTAAACATTATTAAAGTATCTTTAGCTCAAAATTGCGCTCTTGTTGGGGGGTTAAGGTGAAGCTATAACACACAGTGCTGGAACTGCTTATCTCTTTAGGCTCTCGGACTCGCAACCGTAAGGTCGTGGGTCCAAATCCCGTCAGGGACCCCATGTTGTGTCCTTGGGAAAGGCACTCTACATGAATTTTCCTCACTTCACCCAGGTGGGAATGGGTACCTGGCTATAGACAGGGAGAAGATCTTGTCAGTTTGTTAGTGTTTGACTTTGAGCGCCTAATCAGCTGCTTGCACTGTATGCTTCCCGGGGAGCTGAGAATGTTTTGGAGTGTTCTATGGTCTGCTGGGGTAATAATATAGTGTAAAGCGCATAGAGTCTGCTGTTGAGCGGGGATATGCGCTATACAAATGCTATTTATTTATTTCACCACAGTAACCGGACGGTGAGTTTTTCGGTGCTTACTGAAGTCTGACTTTTTCATGCATCCCACACCACAATCTACACACGTGTACTTGAAAGGCCCCGTGTGTTTTCTCCTGTGTAAAGTTAGGGAAGCCTGCCGTAAAAATTCTGCTCCACAAAATTCACACTTGCAAGACTTCTCGGAAGCGTGTTTGTGTCTTTTCTTGTGAGTATTTAGTTCTGTCAGTAGTGCAAAGCTTGCATCGCAAACTACACACCTGAAAGGTTTTCCCTTATGTTTTTCACTGTGATGAACGGTCAGGTAGCCTTTTAGCGAAAATTCTGCAGCGCAGACTCCACATTTATAAGGCTTCTCCCCAGTATGTTTTAAGAGGTGAGCAATTAAGTGAGATTTTCCACGAAATCTCTCGTTGCACAGTTCACACTTGTAAGGTTTTTCTCCGGTGTGCTTTCTATTGTGAACAGTCAGTAGACCTTTAGAGGAAAACGATGCCGCACAATGTTCACACTTGAAAGGCTTTTCGCCCGTGTGTATTCTATTGTGAACAATCAAAGCATAACGGTACATAAAAGACACTCCGCAAACTTCACACCTGTAACGCCTGTCCGCACTACATTTCCCGCTGTGAGCCTCTAAGAGAGCTTTCACTGAATGCGCTTCTCCGTGCAGTTCCCACCTGTATGGCCTTTCTCGAAAGTGTTTTCTCTTGTGAAGCTTTAGCTGAAATGTATTAATAAATGCCGCCCCGCAGCGCTCACACTTGTAGGGTTTTTCCCCTGTGTGTCTCCTCTTGTGAACAGTCAGATGACTATTTTCCGTAAATTTTGCACCACAATCGTCACACGTGTACGGTTTTTCTCCAGAGTGTTTTCGTCTGTGAACGTTTAAGTGACCTCTCCGCGAGAAAGACGCTCCACAGACCTCACACATGAAAGGTTTCTCTCCTGTGTGCTTCCGTTTGTGAACTTTTCTGTCATGTTTATGTGAAAATCTCGCCCCACAAATTCCACACTCAAAAGGCTTCTCCGCATTAGGTGTATGCTTCCTCCTGTGATCAAGTAGGTCGGTCATGAGTGAAAATCCGGCATCGCAAACAACACAACTGAACGTTTTATCTCGCGTGTGTCTTTCCATGTGAACGTGAAGGTTACCTTCTTGTAAAAACCCTTCATCACAAACTTCACACTTGTAATTGTGAGGCATTTCCTTACACTTGTAATTGTAAGACTTTTTCGTTAGGTGTTTTACCTTGTGAATATTTAAGGGAATTTGGGATAAAAATCCCTCACCGCAAACTTCACACTTGTAAGGTTTGTCTCCCCCTATACGTTTAATCGCGTGGCCATTTTGAAAACCTTTCTGTCTATCTTCAGGCTTGTGTTCTCTCGCATGACACAGAAAAGAGTGCTCAAACTCAAACCTCGCACCACAAATTTCACATTCAAAATCACCCTTGACCTCCGGAACGGAGACTGTTCTATTTAGGCCTTGATCGTGACAACTGACTTCTGACTTCTCTTCGCTACTACCGTTAATGTCTAGCGGTTTGTTACGGGCGAGATCCCCGTTCTTTTTCTCTTTGCCACACGTTGCTTCGTGCAAAGAGTACAAGGCCCGATCAGCGTCTGCTACAGGAGCATTTAGCAGTTTCTTCAGGACACTATACGAGCGTTGTCCTGGTCTTCTGTCCACAACCTCTGCGGAGTGACCGGTGGTCAGCGAACTACGAAGGCCGGAGAGAGAGACAGCACCTGAAGGAAAAATGAAGAACTACAAAAGTTAAGTTTAGTTTTAGTACCGAGAGTTTTACAGCACTTGCAACACAATTAGGTCATATAGTGAAAATGATTAGAGGTGTTAGTTTAGTTTTTAGTAAGAGTTTTACGGCACTTGCAACACAATAAGGTCATATAAGTGCCGAAGATTAGAGGTGTTACAAGAGAGTAACAAACATAAAAAAGAAGGAGGAGAGATCAGAATGATAGATGTTTGATAGGCGTTACAAGGGAGAAGGGAGTAACAAACACGAAAAAAAAGGAAGAGAGACAAGAATGATAGAAGATTGATAGGAAAAAAGGGGCAAACCATACCAGAGAGCACCCGCCAACCACCCTTGAAATACAAAAAGTCAGCAGTGAACTATTTTATATCATTTATGTAACACTGGAGTCCGTTTAAAAACCGAAATCTTCAGGATCACTAAAAATTTTTTCAGTTTAGCAGTGTTTCTCACTGATTAGACAGAGTTGTTAAAATAGTGGTGATTGTTGACTGCGAAGAGAAGGAAATGCTAGCGGAAAATTTCACACATCTACCTCTTTTAGTAACTTCAATTTAAGCTGCAGGCTGCACGTTAGTCCAGATAGTGGAGTGCGAAAACCCAATGCCAGTGAGGTCATGAAATAAACTATTCGCCACTGTAGCTCATCTTTCTCCTGTTTTGTTATCTTGAAGCGTATATATATAAGACTTGATGATAGTGACATCGGTAGTCTAGTGGTTAGTCTACCTGACTCGTAATCATGAGGTTGATGGTTCGGGGGTCCAAACCTCAGCTCAGTCCAACATTGTCACTTTCAAGAAGACACTTTAAAGGAATTCCCCACTTGGCTCGGTCTTTTTGGAGATGGACGTTAAACTCGAAGGTCCCGCCTCTTAAATAATCTAACAGTGTTGATAGGGGCTTTAAACTTATATATACCATTTCACCATCACCAGACTTGATGACTTGCATTACTTGAGAATTGTTAGCGAAGACATAGTCGACTTAGCCTCGAAATTATTTGAGTTGAGAAATAGAAGAATTTTTACACTAATTGATAGTTTTGTTACACAGATGAAGAAAAAGAATCGGATTAACTGAGAGTTCCATTTCACATTCAAATATTATAGTTGGACACAAAAACAGAAACAGCTTATAAAAAAAGAAAGAAACATTTCGAAAGGTCAACAAAACACCCTTTCATTACTTTCAAGACCAAAATACGATATATATAATGCACAATACGAATGGTAATTTTGAAGAGATCTGTATTCATTATATATGCCCACCATACCAAAGAGTAAAAATTGTTTGTTTAATTTTGTATGGATTTTTTTGAGGTAGACTATGGATAAGAAAGGTAATTAATTGAGTATTCACAGCTCTCCCCCATACTATATATAATAATAATAATAATAATAAATGACATTTATATAGCGCTCAACCCCGAACAAAGTACACAGGCTCTGAGCGCTTTACAATACAGTACAACATACAACAGTAACATGAAACGTTGTGTTCTGACTAAAGAAAATTATTCCAAATATATTCATCTTATCAATTTAAAAACAGAAACGACTTCAGCTGACATTTGAATGAATCAAAAGATTTGATTTCTCTCAACGTACTTGGTAAAGCATTCCAGATCTTGGGGCCTTGGTATTCAAATGCCCTTTCACCCATTGTTTGAAGTTTCATAGATGGTAAAATAAATTTATTTTTGTCAGCTGATGATCTTAAACTGCGAGTTGGAATGTACACTAAAATAAGTTCTTTAGTCATGGTATTATACACTGTAACAAATTGGTCATACATAAAGCACAATAACGTGGACTTACTTCACCTTTTGAAATCCACATGATAACTCCTGTGGACAAAAAAAAAAGAAATACCACCAGAATTGTTATGTCAGCAACATTTACGAATGTGGTAACTACGCACCATTAGAACGGACATCTGTCTCCTCTAGCTCCCTTCTATCCACTTCTTCAGGCTGTTCTTCCGTTCTCTTAGAAGACTGTCTCTCCACAGCAGACTGAGTTGTCTGCGTTGGCTCAACTGGATGTGTTAGTGTGCCAGACGCTATTTCTCCTGTGAATACCAAAAAAAAGAACCAAAATTCAAAAATTAATCAATTTTTACTAGGCTTTACTTAGGCTATACCCGTGTGGTTCTCGGGGCCCAGTCCAAGAGACAGGGGAGCAAAGAATAGGACCACTGTATCCGTACCGCACATGTCGTAGAAGGCGACTAAGGTCGGTTGGGCAAAGGGTTAGCAGCCCTTTCCCATAAAACAAAAAGCAGCTACAAAAACATCAACAGCAAAAACAACACGACCGCCAGTTCTGGAAGATGGAGGACCTTCATCGAAACAGATAGAAAAGGATGCTCAGGACAGGCTTCGCTGGAGTAATGTTGTTGATAGCCTGTGCTCCACTGGGAGTTAAAAAGGGCAAGAGATACTTCTTAGGCTACTAGATGATTTAGTTTTAGTAAAAGAGTTTTACAGCATTTGCAACACAATAGTTGTCTTATATATATATATATATATATATACTGTAGTAAGGTTTTCTACGCAACAAACAATATCACAGACTGCGATGAAGTAGAAGACATTAATAATAAATATAATTTAATAATAGTAATACTTACTTACAAATTATAATAGTTCAAAGTATTCAAAAGATCATCTCACACAACTGAACTGAGAGAAATGGAAATGAGTTTTGAGACAAGATTATTAATTATAATATAACGAGATGCGCAACATGAATACTCAGTTTGACTTTGAAGTTTGAAGAGACTTGCCTTGTTTTGTTGTATTCTTCCATACTAGTAATGGCAAAAACAGAAGAAATCTCTTTCACTTAGGACTTAAGTATCACATGAAGTTCTTTTGGTAGACTGCAAATGAAAACAATTGTAACGATGATGGGTTGCACTGGTCACAAAATGAGCATTTTTTCATTCAAGATTAAAAATCTTTTTTTTTTTTATTTCAGACTTAAGATAGAAGGCATGCCCCCTATCCCTCCTGAACCCCCCTCCCTGAGATTGAGACTGGAAGGGTGAAAGTAAAGGAAGTGCCTATTTGCAACGCCGCGTTGCGATTAGCGCCAGTGCTAAATAAAACGCTGTGTCGCCATGTGTAAAATATCAAGCTTAATCTACACATCGTTATCGGAAGTTCTGATGGCCGAAGTGACAGCGTGTCTACGCTTGAAGCATAGATATGTCATGTACACTATAGGTTTAAAAGGAGATCCTATGCTCTATGGCTTGAAGTCAAACCATTATTTTTTTAGCGTGGGTTCGATCCCGGTCCTGGGCAGCTTTTTTTTTTTCTTGTTTTTTTGTTTGTAGTCATTGTCCTCTTCTCGACTGACCAACAAATTGTTCCCATATGTTCGGGACCGGGATTCGATGCCACACTTGGAAGCACTGAACATTAGACTTAGAGAACATAGACAGTAGACAGCTTGTATATATACACGTTCTCTAGGCCTAACTTAAAGTTCGAGTTGCACCGTCTTGTTATTGTTTATCCAAGCGTCTTTCGATTTCAAACTCTGACTCAGATGATTATGATTATGAGAGATGAGAACAAGACGTCTACTTTTGTGCAAACTATGTCAGAAACAATTGTTAGATCTAATCTAGATCTAGATTTTTCTAGATCTAGATCTAATCTACCCAATATTGATAGGAATAAGACAACGTCATAAAAAAGGAGTCAAAAGTCAAATCCTTGGAGGTTTATAAAAAAACTGAGAAAGCTTCCACAATTCAGGCAAAGCTACAGTACTATCATGTGTAGAAACGATGGCTACTACATCTAGATCTAATTCTAGTACTGGCGTTTCAAATAGCACGGGAGCTATTCAGAACGCGGCGTTGCAAATAGAGCTTACCGAAAGTAAATTGGCCTAGTAATATAATATAGGCCTATATAGTCCTAATTATACACCTACCTTTCTCCTCCAAATCCGGGTGATGGTTTTCCACCTCCATTAAAAGAGCACACTCATCAGTGAATTCAATGGTGGTGACAATGGTAGGCTTCATCTCAGTCATCTGCACTGGCACTGTTGTTGTCGTTGTTGACAATGTTGTATTGATTCGACCGTTTCTCGCTCGTTTAGTCCTGCAACCTTCAATACTGTTGGATGTTACTTCTTCTGAATCTGCCCTATCCATATACACAAGATAGGGCACATCTTGAGCTGCCCGTTCCAAAACAGATTCATCCTGATCAGAGTCGATCTCAGTCTTGATTTCAGTCTTGACTTGAATCACCTCAGCCTCATCGGCTTTTCCCTTCATTATTTCAGGATCTGATATTTCCACGGCAATAGATCAAGATCTAGAATCTAGATCTATGTCCTAAATCCAAGAGAGGATAATAATATTTTCAGTGTACATCGACACAAACAGTTTGATTTTAAAATTCAGAGATGAAATCTGTCTGGTCACAGCAGAAAGTTGTAGTTTCATAATTTGCTTGTAGATTTAGAATCTAGGCCTAGCAGTTAAAAATTCTGTGGACAGTATTGTTCTTGTTTATAGTTGGTATCCTCGGGATTTGGTCCAAGACAATAAAGTACAAATGTTAGTTAGCGTGGTGGAATCGGGCTCTTGTCAAATAATCAAAGTGAAGAAACTTGCATTTTTCAGTAGGTTTGTGAATTTGGGAAGATTGAAGAATACCGGACCACTCGTACATTATTGCGCGAGAAAGTGGGGTAGGTGGGACGGGTGATTGGGTGGAGGAGGGGGGAGGGGGCGTTCAGGGGGGAGACCTCCCCCTTGACAAAATTTTAATGAATAGATCTACCAGTCCGAGATTCTCCATTGAGATATATTAAAAACGGGAAAATTATGAATTCCTAAGGTTGGCAAATAGGCAAAGTCAGTCCGCTGGTCCGGTATTCTTCAATCTTACCGTGAATTTTTATCAATTTTTATTTTTTCGCTCAACACCTCTCATGCCTATTAAAGAACTCATTTCTGTGTGAATTTTTCTGAAAAACGTTGATTAAAGGCACAAAAAAATGTAAATTTGCAGTTACCAAGGACTATTAAGCTAAGGAAGTAACTAATCTTTGGTGGCCATTTTCTCACTAATTATTTTTACCTCTGGAAACAGGTGACCCCCACCTCCTTCTTTCGCAAATATCTCGACTTGTATTCAAGATAAATGGATATTTTTTAAAATCCAAATAAAGACAAGTGAACAAGCTTTAAGATGATACCAATAACTCTACATGCCCCCAAAAATTGACGAGAGCCTGATTCCACCACGACGCCTCACAAATAAACCTCCATCATGTACCAACTTAAATTTGTTCATTGGTAATCAACTTGAACGGTCTATTGCTGACAATTCCTAAAAATTAGATTCCATCTAGATGTATATTTATGATTCTAAGGCCAGTTCCATGTGTTTTAAAATATTATGAGAATCAGATGTCTAGGTAGCCTACTTCAAAGAATATTTATAGTAATTGATTATAGGTTATATTCAAGGACCATGAGAATACTAGTCTTAACATCCTTGATTATGGTACTGGAGTTATAACATCCTTGATTATCGTATTGGATGTATGCCACCTGTGAAATATGAACTAATATCGACAAGACAGGACACTGCCGCTGAGCTAGTCAGTACCAGCCCTTGTATTCCCCTCGCTGTCACCGCTAGCACTGACATAATATTGATCAAATTAAATACAGAGGTCAGATCGACCTTTCGCTGCCCAAGAATTACAAAATCCGCTCAGTAGCCTAATGTCTACCTAGTTATGAGAAATCTGACATTGAAACTTTTTTTATTTTCACAGCACGTCAAGTATTTTCGAGTGCAATGTTCTTTGAATAATTTTATATATCTTGATGACGACTCCTAGTCTTACGATTTTAATAAAGCGGGTAGAACGTAATTAAATCTATTTTCGGGTTCTGCCCTGTACAAACCCGTAGTAGATTTCTAATTCAAAACGGCTAAAAATGATAGATAGTACTTTGTATTTCTAAGTTTCAGCTTGAATGATTTATTTTAGGCCTTGAGGTACACATCCATGCCCAGGTGCTCTTTCATCAAAGCTCTCTCAGGTCGACGACCATTATTTATTCATTAATAATAATAGCTTATTTATAGATAGGCACCAGCCATTCATGTCCAAGAAACTTAGCCACATCTCTCT